ACTTGCCTTGTTGCTGCACCTTCTACCACATACTCTACTTTAGATGATGAAAGTGCCACGTTTTCTTGCTTCTTTGAACACCAACTAACAACACCAGACCCAAAACCAAACCAATTTCCCGAATTGATTTTCTTATCATCAAAACTTCATGACAAGTAGTTGTTTGTCCAACCGACAAACTTGAAACTGAACAAGTTTGAGAGCCACATACCATAATCATTTGTTGTGAGTGTCTTCTCACAATCAGACATGATAAATTTCTTCACTAAATCAACAACATACTTCTCTGACAAGCAAAGATTCCATCTTCTCTTTGCTTCTTCTTTATGTAGAACTCCCATGTAGAATTATTCATTGATTGCATCTCCTCTTTCATTGCAATCTGCCACTCAAATGACCTTCCTGCTTCTTCAAAATACAGAGGGCCAGAAACATACACCTTTTCATCCTTCATAAGGAATTTGAACCCATTCATGTTACCATAACAGAAATACCACAGGTTTGTCTCTGCATCGCTTTTAACATGCGCAACCAAATCTCTCCCTTGAACAGTTAACACGTCAAGAGGAACATCACTTTTATTTGACTCATCAATCTCCTTGAATAGCGACTTTGTTCCTTTCATGTGACTGGAACAGCCACTATCCACATCAGACACACTTGTGCAAGTCGAATACGTCATGAACAACTTACTTTCTTCTTCACCATCTTGAGCAAAATTTGATTTCTGCTCATTCCTTTGTTTGGACCAGTACTCAGCTTCCTTGTGCCCAAACTTCTTGCAATATCTACACTGAATATTGCTCTTGAACTGATCTTGATCCTTGTATCCACTGCTGTGATAACCTTGATCTTCCTTTGGTGTTGATTCTTCTCATTGAATCCACCTCTTCCTCTTCCATAACCATGGCCACGACCATGATAGCCACCTCTGCCTCTGTCTTGGCTTCCATAATATCCAGATCTTCCATTTTTTAAAGAATCTCCATTCACTTAAAAAGCTTTCTCTTCAGCTTTCTAACTGGCTTTGCTAAGCCGATCTTCATGAGCCATCAAAGAACTCACCAACTCATCAAATGTGTATGTGCTCAGATCATTCGACTCAATGATTGCTGGAACCACATACTCAAACTGTGATGACAGACTCCTTAGCACCATGCTCACGATGCTCTCGTCGGTGGGAAACTCACCATAAGCCTTCATCTGATTCACAATCGAAGAGACTCTAGCCAAGTACTCTTGAACAGTTTCTCTCTTTTCCATACTCAAAGTTTCAAACTTTTGCCTTAAAGTTTGTAACTTCACTAGGATCACCTTTTGTTCTTCCATATACTCCTTCTTCAGAATCTCCCACGCTTCATGAGCTGTGTTTGCTGCAGAGATCCTTGAGAGTATATCATCATCCAATGTTGTTTGGATGAAAAACAATGCCTTTTCATCTTTCTTTCTTTTCTCCCGTAGAGGTTGATCAGGTTCTTCTGGATTGACATCTTCAAATCCAGACTCGACCAGATCCCATAATTCCTGCGATCGGAACATAGTCTTCATCTTGAGACTCCATAGATGATACTTTTCACCTTTGAAAATTGGAACAAGAGTCTGCATGTTTGACCCATTGTCCGCCATCGTTTCTTCTTCTTCTTAAGAGGATTGAAATCTGGATTTTTTTACTTTGCTCTGATACCACAATTGTTGGAGAAATTTCAGAGAAAGGAAGCTATCTGAAAAATTTACGTTTAATTGAAAAAGCTTAAAAGATAACAATTACAAAATACTGAAATATATAAAATAAAAGATAATTACCCATTACCCATAATAATAAAAGATAAATATTAAAACCTCTAATATTTAGGAAACATCCCACGTTAAACTGAACCACAAACCCCATACTTCCTAATTTCTAGATTGACTTTAAATCAATCAACATCTAGTGCGTATAGCTTCAACATGCAGAAGCCAAGACAAGATTTGTAAGTTTATGTTTTTGAAGGCTATTTACGATGCACAAAATTTAGCAAGCAATCAAGGTATAAAATCCTCGATTAAGTGATTTTTTGTTGACCTTTTAGCTTTCTCAATTGTGCTATTCCAATTTTTCTCAAAACAAATTATGAGAACAATAGATGTAGCTGAAAAAAAATAGATGTAGCTGACAAGTTTGTGGTTGTGAAAGTATTAAAGAAATAACTTGAGAGGAAGTGTTTTAGTGATCAAATTTTGTATAAATTTTGGATGGTGTATAAGATTTTAGGGATGAGAACAACGGTTTTGGTATTGACATTAAATGAAAGAAGAATGACTTTAGCTGATTTCAGAGACAATGGTTTTTGCAAGAGTGATAGAGATAATGGGAATTGGAATTGAACTAATAATGCTTAATCTTTATTTTCTTCATATTCACGTATTTTTTATGAAGTATTCCGTAAATATTTAACTAGTTTTAAGAACAACTATCTTTAGTTCTAAGAGATTGAATATTATAAGAGAATGAATCAAAGATTAGATATATACATCTTCATTTATCTTCGTATTTGTAAATAAGTGATCAACCTTGTAACTCTACCACATGAACAAAACATTTTAAAATAAAGTATTCATTTTTAAAAGAAAATGTATATCTAAATATTTTATAAATAGCATTTTAAAAAGAAAAGAAAAATGAAAACTAACAAAGTAAGCAAACACTTTGTTGCCCTTCTTCCCTTGCCATATTTAAGGGGTGGGATTGAGCTTATAAACTTCTATAAATAATTTTTAAATATTTCTAAATGATTTAAAAGGACTATTTAGTATTTTCATCACAAATTTAGTCAGGGTAATTTTGAAAATGATCATCCTTTAAAAGTAAATTTGAAAATTACTACCAAGTCTATGATAAAATTAGAATTCTTCCTTGTAAAAAATATTTATGAATATTAACAGTATTTTAACATCATTGCAGTTTAATCTAAATGAAATCGTAGCCACTAGATTAGTAATTAGGACTCTACGTTTAGATTAGTTTTTTTTTCTATAAAAAATGATGACATCATCTGAAAACAAAGAAGGATTTTCAATTTTATATAGAAAAAAACAAAATATATTATAAAGGTATATTTAAAATATAAAAATCTTAAATGTTTAAATGTGTATTTCCATCCAAAAATCTGCATCGTTTCAAAGATGCATTTTTATGAATATGTGTATGTTCATCTTTTAAAATGTATTGGTTTTGAGAGGTTGCGGAAATGTGTAAATATATTTTTTTAATAATGCATGTGCATCTTTATCCTTAAAATTACATTGATTTTAATGTCAAAATGTCTATGTTGTCCAAATGGCATCCATAAAATATTATGAAGGTACTTTCTGAAATATATTATAAAAGTGTATTCAGAGTATAAATAAATCCAAAATGTATAAGGATGTGTTTTATATTTTGAAAATGCATTATATTTAAATATGTGTATGTTCATCTAACAAAATATATTGATTTTAAGAGGTTATTAAAAATGTGTAAATAGATATCTTTCATAATTAGTGTAAAATTGCATTATTTTTTAATATGTTGTCAAAATGTCTATGTTGTCCAAATTGCAGCCTCAAAAAAATTATGAAAGTACCTTTTTGAAATATATTATAAAGGTATAATCAAAATATATTATAAAAGTATAATCAAAATATATTTTAAGTAAATAAAAAAAAATGTTTAAGAATGTTTCTTTTCATCTTAAAACATGCATTGTCTTTATAGATGTATCTTTTCAACGTCAAGCCTCATCACTAGAAACACGGAGGGAAAACATTGGTCCAGAAGAACTCAAGGTATCAAAACACTCCACGTAACGTAGAGCTCTCACGAAGGAAGACATCAAAGCCATATAGTTAAGGAAGCAAGAGGGTGTTGTCAAGCCTATGTTGAAATGCTCCAAGTCATATCTGGTAAGCTCTCTCTCTCTCTCTTTGGATCTTAATATAACATGTCAGTGTCTCACACAGTTGTTTTGCAGGTGAGAATAAGTCCTCACATGTTTTCTTGAGTCATTACATACAAAGGACATGGGGATGAGAAGTTGTAGACTGGAACATTGGGGAGAATCCAAGTCTCTCATTCCAAGAGAAATCTTTGTCCCGACAAAAGTAAAGCTATACAAAAGTCTATGAAGCCAATGTTACAGTCTATGAAGCAATGCAGGGGCATAAAAGAAGGAGACACCGAGTAACTTTGCTAAATAAAGTGGAGGAGGAAATAGCTATACAAGAGTCTCGATTAAATGAGGAAGAAGATATAGCTTTATGGAGATATAAAGATGATCAATACAAAGCAAAGTTTAGTGCAAAGGAAACTTGGAGGGTCGTGAGAGAAGCTTATTCAGAATGTGGATGGGAAAAAGCAGTTTGGTTTAGCTATGCCACGCCGAAATATGCTTTTATCCACGGGTAGTAGGATGCTTAACTGGAATCTGAATGTCAATTCTGAATGTGTTTTCTGTCAGGAGTTGATGGAAACGAGAGAACATCTGTTTTTTGAATGCCCTTATTCAGCAAGCATATGGAAAGCTCTTGCAGGAGGCTTTCTGAGAGATCAATTTACAACCAAATGGCAGGAAATCATGGACTTGATCTTGGCAACTTCACAGCAGAGAATCCCAAAGTTTACTTTTCAGTATGTGTTTCAAGCAACTCTATATACCATTTGGCAGGAGAGAAATGCTAGACGCCATGGAGATAAACCTTCTCCAGCAAATAGACTTATTCACTTGTTGGATAAGAATATGAGGAACCGTTTTACCACAATTCAGAGGATGGGAGGAAGTAAATATGAGGGAGGCATGAGATTTTGGTTTGCCACAAGAAACATATAAGCTAGAGTTTGTTTGCTTTTTGTTTTCTTGTTGTTATAAATTTCAGCATGAGATGCACTGGATGTAAACAAATGTCTTTTTGATTGAATAAATTTAACATTCAATTCAAAAAAAAAAAAGTAAAGCTTAGAACGTTGCAGACACAAGACTCTAGTGATGGACAAGACTCTCTATTTTCTTTTCCGAGGAGATCTTTTAGCCTGTCTTGAGCAGAGTCTATTGGAGGATGAGAGCTGGTACCAAAGCTTCTCCATTGGCTTCCAGCCTTACATGAGCGTGACAGAGTCAGCAAAGGAGAAGTTTAGATCACTGAGCACACCAAGGCAACGTATAGGGGTGATGGATTCTTGGTTGGATGATAGTAAGAAGGATAGGGATAAAGTATACCTCTGGTCTTCCTTTGTCAGTGAAAGTACTAGTAAAATGAGCAGCTCTAAGAAGTCATCTCTGGCACATTCATGACACTTTCTTTTATTTTTATCTGGTTCTCATATATATCATTGTTCTTTTTATATAGATATAATGCTTCTGAAGAATGCTGTATTTCTTCTTGGAGGTTGGTGTGTGCTTTTGTTCATTTATGTTCCTGTGTGGATTTTGAAGTATCTTTTATCAATGTGATTCTTTTGTTCAACTCACGAGGAAAAAAACACTGTTGGTGATAGAATGAGAGACATATACCCGAAAGATAAGGCCTCTCTGCTCATAATTGGCTTCAGTTGTTTTTTATCAGGCTCCAACCCTCTCTCAAGCTCCTACGCTTGTCAAGCAATATTACTAATTAATCATCTCAAACTCCATTAGTTTATCTTTTCTTGTGCTCCTTTTATGGTTTCACATGGCAAAAATTAAATCAACTTTTCTTAAAATAAAGAATTCTGCATACTAGAATAATAATACTAATATACGTAATATAATCATTTGATTAGATGAAAATAATAGTCAAAATGTTGAAACCAATAAATATTATTTATTCTGAAAGAAGATAAGAATAAATAAAAGTTAAGTATCATTTTACAATTAAAAAGTATTTTTTAAAAATGAAGATGTGAACATTATATCTTTAAATTTGAAGCAATAATTAATGTTCCTTGTTTTATTTTGAAATAAAATTTGAAGTAAAGTTGAAGCAAAATTTACTTCAAAATAAAGTGGAAAAAAAGGAAAATGAAATAGGATTCTAGATGATCAAACATTGCAACAACAAATGCTTCTGCTGCCTCCCTCATAAGAGGCAGTAACTTCCAAACCATTCATGAATCTGTGTTTTAATGTTTAATAGTAACTGTAGTAGTAACTGAATCTGTGTTGTAATGTTTGTAAAGATTTTTATGCTATCTTCAACAGTTAGAGCACCGGCTATACATATCGAAGTTGATTCTAGGTCAATTAACACATCAACCGTAGTATGCTCCATCTCTTTTTTGTCTAAGCTGTTGCTAGATTGGCTCAAGCGGCCTCTACGTCCTTTACGTTCAGGAAACCATCCATTGTTATCAACAATACTTTTTGGTGGATTTTGATCCAGCAGTGACCAACTTTGAATCTTTTCTCTCTTGGTCATAGTAGCCGCCAGATGCACACTTAATTCCACATGTGATTCTGTAAATTGATCAAAAGTTATAAATAAAAGTAAAGAGACAGTTTATAGAATGAGAGGAGTACCAGCCATATCTATCGAAGTTGATTCTAGATCAATACATCAACCTGTCTTTACGCTATCTATAAACAGAGAATTTATAGAATGAGAATAGTGCTGAGGATATTTATCTATACACAGTACAGCAAAAAACACAATAGTTTTTGCATCATCATAACAAGATTAGGAAGAAGAAGACATAAGTAATCAACATTACCGAGTCATTTACAATTACACCAAAACAAAAAAAAACATTACCGAGTCATGAACTCATTGTTTAACTTGTTGAAACTATCTATGATCCCTGTTTATGTATTATATATATTATAAACATTTCACAATCTTATTTACATACAATATTTCTCTTCCATTCTATAAGATATTTACAAAGTATGATATATATTATAATGGAATAGTTTTTTGTATGTTGATCGTATGAAAATTATTATATATTCAAAATTAATTCTAATGAGTATAAATTATAACTACTCCCTCCGTTTCATATTAAGTGTCGTTGTAGAGAATTTTTTGTATTACAAAATAAGTGTCGTTTTCGGTTTTCAATGCAAAATTTATTAATTTTATTATGTAATGTGTTTTTCTATTGGTTAAAATATGGTTAGGTGTATGGGTAATTGTGTTTTTATATAGGAAATATGTAAAATTAATTGTTTCCTTAATCCGTGTGCACAGCTGTAGAGTGACACTTATAATGAAACAGAGGGAGTAATATATATATATATTGTTTGGATATGTTTTGATATTTATTCAATTTTTGGAATGGTTCGAGTTCGGGTTCCGGAAGATATTTTGCGTTTTGAAAATAGACCCATTCGGATATTTAAGTCGGTCGGTCCAATCGAATTTGGTATCTTAACAGTCTGTTTTTCAGATATAGATATTATTCTCAACTTTCATATTAGGCTAGCAACAATTTAAAAAAAAAAACATAATCTTATAATTCATTAATTACATATTTAAATGAAACTTAAATAATCCCGCTTTGAAATCTAGTTTACATTGCATGCAGCGAACCCAACTAAAAAGACTCCGTATTATAAAGAGAACAGATCGACGGTTAGTAAATGGACACGTCATGAAAACGGATAAAGCATATGTTTCCTTTTAGCAAAAAAGAAGGATAACTTGATAAAAAAAAAAACAAAAAAAAGGGATAACATTAAGACAAGAAGAGTCTCTGAGTTTTTAGATCACTCAGCTCACTACTTATGGAGGCTCTTCAATTTTTAAACCGTTTCTCGGTGAACAATAGAGTTCCTTGTACTGACAATAGGACGAGGAGTGGAACAAGATAAATAATTATATATCTTATGACTTTGTAAATAACTTAAAGTCAGAATGATAAATAATTTAATCGATCTTTTCAAAATAAATAAATATGCAAACAGATAAATAATATTTTACTAAAATACCTTGGAATTTTCTACAGAGTTTACATACCGCCTTTCTTCGGTGATATTCTTTCACCAGTACATCGTTCTGATTCAGACTTATTTTAATGTTCTCATCCAAGGACACCGGCCTTATACTTAGAGTCTTTAGTGTTTAAGGTCCCAAGGCTTTGAATGTGGGATAGGAGAAATGCAGAAGGAATACAGAGGGAAATGACATGCAGATTGATCTGCATTTAATACCCAATCAAGTTTAAAAATGCAGAACAAATAATATTAATAAAAAATAAAAAAAACTGCATGCAGAACAAATTGTTTGATAGAAAAAGGACTGCATGAACAGAATAAAAATGGGCTGGTCGAACATACAGGAGGCCACTGATCTGCATTTACTTTTTTTTTTACCTATAAATACCATACTACTCTATACTTTTTTAAAGTATTTATATAGAGTTTTAAGATGAATTTTCTTATACAAATATATAAAATAATATTATATATATATAAAATTATAGAAAACTTGATAAATACATATTTATATTTAGTTTACATATTCAAAACTTTATATAATTTTCCATAATAAATATTATTTTCTTTGTCAACTCTGTAATAAATATTCATACACATTAACTTCTAATGTAAAAATATATAATTACACTGAATAATCATATCTAGGATTTAGATAAATATAAAAACATATAAGTTATAGTATATCTTATTTTTATTTTTGTTGATACCTATCATAAATAACAGAATTAATAGTTTTGTACATTAACTATAATGTTATCTGATTATAATTTTTATATAACTCAATTAAATAAAAGTTTGTAATTTAAATTTATTAAGAATATAATAAATGCTTGTAATTTAATTTATTATTAATTATTAGACACTTTCAAATAAATATCCACCAATGAAATTTAATCAATACAATTATTCTCAATTAATGTTTCTCAAAAAAAAGAAATTCTCTTGGATAACTCTTTTTCTTTTATTTTCACAAAAATAGTATTCAAGAAAAAAATGACTAAACGAGGTTTTATTAAATGGTAAATATACATTTACACATTAGATTGACTAATCTAGATTTAGGGTTTAGAGTTAAGCATTGGAGTTTTGAGGGTATGAATTCAATTTAACAAAAAAAATAAAAACTAATATTAAAAATTTCAAAATAAAAATGTTTGTTTTAATCATTTTATTTTTGAGAGCTTCTTTGATGACAAAAACCTAAAAATGGTTATTTGAGAGAATTGTCCTTCTCAAAAATATACAAAGTATTTTAATTATAGAAAATATATTTTTGTGGAACAAGACAAAAATCTAAAACATTTTACTATTATATTTAAATTTTTAGTTTTGTTTGAGTTTAGGTGAATAATACATTATCAAACTTTGAATTTTTTTTCAATCTCATTATGTTGTAATTGTAGTTATTTTTATATAATGTTTAAATTTTTATTGTGTTTATTTAAATAATTATTGTTATTATTCTTTACATAGAAGAATTTATATTTTATTTTTAGATATTTAGTTATAAATTTATTTTTTCAACATTTGGTCAAATACGGTAATTTGATAATTTAGTTTGATCTGCATGATCTGCATTTGTTCTGCTTAATCTGCATGATCTGCATTTGTTCTGCTTGATCTGCATTTTTGTTTGATCTGCATTTTTTGATCTGCGTTGTCCATTCGAAACCTATATCATTTATGCTAGTTTCAAGAGTTAGATCACCGGCTATATTTGTCGAAGTTGATTCTAGATCAGTGAAAAATACAGATAGGTGTGTAGAGTGTCATTAGAATGGTCTGGTTCTCTGTTATCTTTTCTAGTATATCATGTCATATTCTTATAGCATGTCCTATCACATTTTGTCATAAGTTATGTTATGTTTTTAGTATGTCATGTCATAATTTTTTAGTGAAAGTAATTGCATTAGTGACACATGACAAATCACTACTCAAATAAGATTTATTTGGTAAAAGGTAAACAAATAAAAATTAAGTATCAGTTTACAAATAAAAAGTTTATCTTCAAAAGATGAAGATATCTATCTTCAAATTTGGAGCAATATTATTTATTGTGCATTTTGAAGTAAAAAATAAAAAAAAATGAAGCAAAAGTTATTTCAAAATAAAGAAAAAAGTGAAATTGAAATAAGGTTGAATTAGATATAAGGTTATAACTAATAATGCTTCTGTTCCCCTCTCACACGAGGCAGTAGCTTCTAAACCCTCTTCCACTTGTTAGTGTAGGATTGAATTTCCTATATGATCTCAGTGGACCATTTCTAATTCTGATATCTTTAGAAATTTAGTTTTACAATTTCTTTCTATATGTTCTTTTCTTTTACACATGAAAATCTTATCAGCAAACTTGCATATCACAACTATATTAATAAATAAAT